GAGATGTGGTTCTACAGAAGGATGCTAAGGATATCATGGACCGAGCGTGTGTGAGCAACGATGAAGTCTTAGAGAGGTTGCAGACTGTTATGGCGAAACACACCTATTCCATAGTTAATAGACTCTCCCACCTAATATAGTAAGAGAAACGAGGGTCAGTCGATGTCGGACGACAGTAGTCGACAGTTAGTCGAATACGAAAGTAGTCAGCGACCACAACAAGATTACTCTGCGTAATACCTATTATATCAAGTTCCTAACGTTTTGTACGTCGAACCTATTTTAGTACCGATTTAGTAAGAGAAACAAGGGAAATACGCGTAACATACCTGGTGGGCTTAAGCAAGTGGATGACAGAACGTGGTCTGGGAGAGGAAGCAGATGGAAGTAACTTGTTGAGAGCTGCAAGGGACAGAGGGAGGTGGAGAACCATGATTGCCTACGTCCTGAAAGGACATGGCACATCAAAAGAAAAAGAAGTAAGATGAAACGAATGACTAGTAATAACTGACAACACTTCATGTAAGAAATTTGTTGGCTAACGTTATTTGCCCTCATATATGTGTGAAGGGCACATCGAGGCGGTGTAATGGTTAACAAGCTTGGCTTGCTAAAACAATTACGACTGGGTAGTGAGTTCGATCCTCACTAGGTACTCCATACTTTCGGCCTTGTGCTACGCTTGGAAAATCACTATATGGCTGCGAATGCTGGACAATTTCCTCGCACTCAATGAGAAGACTAATGGTCACAGAGATGTGGTTCTACAGAAAACTCTATGGAGAATAGTAAAGAAGAAAGAAAATGAAACAAAATGGATGCTTAGAATCAGAAAGAACTGCTGAAATTTCTGGGACACGTAATAAAGTAGGGGGCTTGGAAAAATTGACACTCACATGTCGAAGGTAAAATGGACAGAAAGAGATAGCAAGCAGGCTGACGAACATGTAAACAGATGGCAGAATGGGTTGGGGAGAAGGGATGTTAAAATGACAAACATTACTAAGAACTGCAAGGGATAGGATAATCATAATCGCCTAAGCCCTGAATTGACACGGTACACAAAGAAGAGCATTGTAATATTCGCTTTTTGTCCATCATTATTGGCGTACTTGGAACAGACTGGAAGAACCTTGCAAAGAAACTATCCAGTCGACACAATTACTAAAATCGTTAGAATACCGAGGAGACTGCTGAAGCATTTAGGATACTTGCTGTCACTTGGTCTCTAATGTGAACTAACAGATATGATTGGTGTGAAAACATAAAAAGTGCAAAATAATAATTATTGTTAAAATTAACTCGGATACTGAGTAAGGTTCTGTATTATCCAAGAGACTTGTTGTCCTCTTAATGTCCAGAGGGAACTATCAGATTCAGCTGGATTGAAAACACAAAATGTATGAAATTATAATCATTATTAAAATCTGTCGGAATATTGAGAAAGGTGCTGAAGTATTGAGAGCCTTGCTATCAATTTGTCTCAACTGAAAGCCACCAGATATTACTGTTATGAAAGCCCAACAAGTATACATGATAATGGCAGAAATCAAAGGAAAAGTCGAAACCATCCAGACGACAGAATTACTATTAGTAAAGTAGTGTAAGCCAATAAGACCCCCTACTGCCTTATACCATTCCCGCACAGTCATAGAAAACGTAGAAGAACTGTTTATAAACTACAATTCTCCATGATTTTCTCTCATACATTCATATCTGCTCGATGCGTATCCAAATGTAAACAAATGACGTCACACATTATGAAATGGGCAAAGTCCGACAATTATTTTAAGACATTTTTTTTATGTTTATACGTTCTTTTTATAAACAAATGGCGTCACACATCAGCATGGAGAATTGTAGTTTAAAAACAGTAAAATCGACCTTGCTAACCGAAATGCTCCTTTGTGGCTCAATCGGTAAAGCACGTCAGGCTATGTAACGGTTCCGTATAAGAAACAGGTTCGATTCCTGTCGGAGGACGCAAATTTTTCTATGAAAATTTATCGGACAGGGCGGTATAAAAAGAACATATAAACATAAATAAATGTCTTAAAATAATTGTCGGACTTTGTCCATTTCATATTTGGGATTGTAAGATTTTTTTTTTCGGGCAAATATTGCATTCATATATTTTTGAGAATAACAATGATTTTTCCAGATACAAATCTTTCTATTTAAACCATAGCTGTGACGGAGTAGATAGATTCATCCAAAGGTATTTTCACATAAATGAATGTAGCATATCCAACTGGAACTTTGATTTCCGACTTCTAATTCTGAACCATTATCTATTACACCACCCGCACATGGAACAAAAAAAAAGCAAGAAAAATAGCAGTGGAATTAGCTGCTTTTTCTTTTTGAAGAAGATGAAAGTAGAGCTCATTGCTGATCCTACGACAGCCTGATCAATGAGTTTACCAAAACAAATGAAGATTTTTTTTTACAAATAAATAAGATTTAAATATGTTGATTTTATTATTTTCTCAGATTTCCCTCGTTACCATTAATGGTGATCATGGAATACATGTTCCTTTTCCAAAGTCAGGGTTCGTCACTCGTAATTATTTCTATACAATAATAGTTCTATTAAGAACACTTCAAAATAGTATTTGTTCTTCCCACGTTTCTTTTGCGGAGACGATCCTATCGCATCTTTCGAAACAAAAACCTCAAACTATAAATCAAAGTCATAATGTATTAAGCTTTTGTCGTTTCAAACTTACTTTACGTAGAAGAAACATTAGAGGGATGAAGAAACCTGAGCGTTTTACCTCGAAGAAGCGTCGATCAATCATGAATACCAAATGGCAGTACCCGAGAAAGCTCAAGTCAACAGCATCGAAGCGGCCGTCATCAAACATCGGTTCAGATGAACAGGCCACGTGCATCGTGCGAGTGACAAATTTCCCCGCCAAATGCTTTACAGCGAACAACAGATCCTGCCGTTGCTCTCTACGCCGTTACAGAGATCAGCTCAAACAGATTAGGAAAAAGATTAACATCAACTCGGAAACCTCGGAAGAACAAGCGACAGATTGTAGACGCACGTGTCAAGCTATCTTGACTCTGCTGTAGACCTGTTTGAAGACGAACATCGCAAGTAGGAAGAGGACAAACGCCAAAAGCTAGAAGATCCGCAAAAGCCCCAAAAAGAAATGAAAAATTGGAAATCTGAATAGCCTACGACTACTATTTTGAGAATATAGAATAATAAGGTTCTTATAAGAATGGTAAATCCGCGGAAACATATTGCTATTTCCTTCTTAACGATCTTTTGCCAATACTTGTGGTTAGAAAAGGAAATAATAATAATAATATTAATAATGAAAAGAAAAACGAGAAAATGAACACAAATGAAGCACATATTACAATGTTACCCAACGAATTTCTTATATGACGCGTTATGAATTATGATTAATTTTTGCCTAGTTTTTCTTATCTTACTTCTGTTTGGTTTCATGGAGATACGACTTCGTCATATTAGGACTATTAAATAAGCTACATGAATTAGAAATAAAGAAGTGGAAAAGAAGAATTAAGTACTGAAATTAAAGAAGAAAAAGAATTAAAGAAGCATTGAAATTACAGAAGAAGAAAAGTAAAAGAAAAGAAGAAGAAGAAAAAGTTACTTAAAATTAAGGCGGAGGAAAAGAGGAAAGAGAAAGAGAAAAAGAGAATTTAAATAATGAGAAAAAGAATAAAAAGAGCAGGAGGAATAGTAAAAGAACAAAATTTGCTCGTGAAAAGAAAATATGAAAAAAAAAAAAAACGAAGATCAAATTTGAATAATAAAAAGAAGAGAAGGGAGAAAGAAAAAGAAATTCAAATAATAGAAAGAAAAAAGTATGAAAAGGAAATGAGAAAGGAGAATGGAGAGAAATAAAAATAAAAACAGAAGCAGCAACAACAACAACAAAAATAATAATAATGATGATGAATGATCAAATCTAACGTAACCCCAAATATTAATCAATGCGAAAAGATGCAAGAATATCCATTTTGATCCGGAGGGAATGCAAGTGAAGTAATTATTTGATTTAAACAGCGATGCGCGCGGAAATATGCAAATGACTGCATTACGATAAAATAGAAGCGGGAACAAAGCAGGTGCACACACTCACACACACACATATATATATATATATATATGTATTTGTATGTTTTGTTGCTCTGTGTAATATTGGAGGAAGTTGTCCTGCATGATATCTGTGGGCGGTGTGATATCAGAACATTGTTCAGAAACGATACCATTCGACGCATGCTTAATTGTTAAGTAAAAAATCGACAAAAATAAAGCTAGCCACCTTCACTCTCACAAGAAGAGAAAACTTGATAAGCACCGGATGACAAAGGTATGAAGTTCGATCACAAATCGGGTATAGCAGACCGCTCATTATATATATATATATATATATATATATATATATATATATATATATATATATATATATATATATATAGCAGAAAAAGAAAAGGAGAGAGAGGGAAGGAGGAAGGAAGAAAGAAAAAAAGAAGATAACTTTTTCGACAGCGAAGTAATTATAATCGACAACGTTTTTCATTAGATATTCAGAAGCTAAAGAAACACTTAAATTTCTGGAATGACGAACTCTCATTATTTAGAATTGAACTAATGCCCATTTAAAAAAAAAAAATTACTCCCTCCCCGAAGTAAGGCGATAAAAGCCACTAAGACGCAAAGGGGGTGACTGAGTGTGAAGCAAATATTGATTGATTCGTTTTCTAATAATCAACCCTTTGCGGGTTATTTAAAGCCAGAAAATATTTTTAGACTGTAAGAGATTAAAAAAAATAAATATGATTTAGTGATACAAATTAACCCATAACTGGGGGGGGGGAGAGCAGAGGTGGCTCCATACTTTTCCCATGGGTTTTTGCGTGTAAGTGAATATGACGAACTCAACTGGAATGGAAACCCTGCTCTCTGATTAACAATTCCGAGCTATTTCGGTTGCATCACCCTCACATCCAAGCTTGCAGCACTTGGTATTCCCAAGCAGTCACCCATCTAAGTACTAACCAGGATAGATGATGCTTAACTTCGGTGATCAAACGGGAACCGGTTTTTCAAGGTGATGTGACCGTAGACCCATAAAGGAAACAGAGGATAATAACATAATTCAATGAAACAAAAGATGATGATTGACGTTTTGAATTTTTAAAGATCGTAGTTGACAGAAAAGCAATAAGACAGAAAAGAGTTCTACGAATGTGAGAAGCGGGAGAAAAAAAAAAAACTATTAGCATAGAACTTACGGTTACATCTAGCAAATTGGAATTATGAGACCTAGCTGCCAATCTAGTACTGCGTTTAAATTCGTGGAGTCGAGGTAGCAAAGAAAAAAGCTCATCAGAACAATAACTGTAAATTGAGTGGCAAGAACACGTCTTTCTTTCTCTCTCTTATGTGAAAACCTTTTGGGTATCGGAAATTGGGTTATCAAAGATTCAATTATTCAAGCAACGATCTGATGGAATTGACGGTGGCTGTTGTGGTAATAAGTTTGGAGTTTGAGTAGTTGTAGTTTTGACTAAGGCTGTATAGGAGGCTCGATTCTTTCTATCGCAAGCAAATGTATAAGTAGCTCCTTTTTTGTTTATAAACTTTGAAGGAACTTTCTCTCTTTTATCGATCTATGGTTACAACGTATATACGTCACGTTTGTTTTTGATAATGACATTTGTTTCATTTATCTCCTCCGCAAACACATATCAAACAGTTTATCAGGTTTTCTTGGACTTGGCCGCTTATAACATGGACGACAAAGTATTGGGGACCCGACTTCAAATAATTATCAACACGACGGACCATGCAGACGATTTAAATACGGTCAAAGTTAAATGCAAATAAGATTTGCGTACAAGAAAAAAACTGTTTAAGAAAAACACAGAAAACAGGTTTCAAACAAATAATTTAATGGGAACATTTATTATGAAGAAGCTAATAAAAAGCACCAGGACCTCGCCCCCAAGTGAAGAATATGAGAAATAAACAGTGACAAGATAATCTGATGTTTTAAGAAGAATTATCGCCATTATGTCGACGTTATTCAAACTACTATCATCATCTTGGTTGCTGTCGTCACGATGTTTTTGACCTCCTTCAGGTGTCAGCTGTATTTAGTAAGCATCTATCTATCTATGCTCCCTTATCTGTACTAAATGTATGCAAATGGTCCCGGCCACTGCTTTTTTGAAAACTGGAAACAGTAATAATTAAAAAAAAAAAAAAAAATCACTGCCAATATTTGCATACGCCTAATATATCAGTCTGCTTCTCTCAGTCTTCCTCGCTATCTCTCTCTCTCTCTCTATATATATATATATATATGTGTGTGTGTGTGTGTGTGTGTGTGTATGTATATATAGAGAGAGCAAGAGAGAAAGAGAGAGAGTCTGTTTTCTCATGACTCATTATTAATCTGCCTTGTCTTCTTGTTCGCTCTATTTTATATATATATATATATCTTATACACGCGCGAGTGCACAAACATACACGGTGTGATAAGTAAATTGTCGTCTAAATTACGCAAAAATGAAACTAACATTGTCATCTCATTTTAACAGACATATTTACAAAAATTGCACAAATCTATCTTGAAATACTAAAGTGTAAATTTATTCAATATAATCGTCATTGGCTTCAACCACGGCCTCCAGACGGCTTCGGAATCTACTGCAACTCTTCTGGACAGTCTCCTTGTTTAAGTTGATAAATGCTGCCATAATCCTTGCCTTCAGTTTTATTGGTCTCTCGCTCAATTGCGCCCCACACATAATAATAAAAGGCGTTACAATCTGGGGAATTAGGTGGACAGATGTAAGGGGTGATGTTGTCACAGAAATTGTCTGACAGCCATGACTGGTTCTCCTGTTTGTGTGTCATGGTACAGAATTATTTTGCCAAACAGAGCCTTTCAGTAGCCAACCTCTTGACCCAGGGTAGCACTACGCCCTCAAGGCACTTATCTGAGGCCGTGTGGGAAGATGAATGGAGGCATAACGTCGTCATCACTAGTGATAACTCCAAACACCTTCGTAATCACCATTAGACTCATCCAACTCTTTCCGAATCCTCTGTACTGTCCTCGATAAATAAAAAACAAACAACGCGCATGCGCGAAATTAAAAATATAAATGAACAACAATTTATCCATCGCACCCTATATATATATATATGTGTGTGTGTGTGTGTGTAAACCACTTCCCTTTTCCTGTGACCATGTGATGTTCTATCTACCTTTTGTTCATTCTCTTGCTTCGATATTTTCTTTCAGTCTCTGAACAGTTCACAAATAGCATCAATTCAATTTCAACTGTTTAGTCTCCTTCCAGGTTTACTTCGAGAAATACGTGAACCAATGAAAAACTACAACCAGGATTAAATATAAAATGAATCAAGTCATTGCAAACGAAACAATTAATTTAAAGTAAAACCGGGCTATTATGGTGAACACGAGTTCGTCTTTAATCTGCCAAAATATCTGGCCACAGGAGCAGACATGCTCTTATGTGTGTGTGTAAAGTGACGTTGTTTGGCGAAAGTTTCTCATTCCAGTCTCCAGATAGATAGAAATCACTAAGAAATTAAACAAAGAGAAGCGCTCACGCACCCACCCACACACACATCTTTTATATATATATATATATATATATATATATATATATATATCATCATCATCATCATTCTTCTTCAACTTCCTTATAGTTTATGGGACCCCATTGACAATCCCTTTCCACACCGTTCGGTCCTGTATTGCTGTCCCCAGATCCCCAACGTCTAACCCTGATTCCCGATCTACGGTGTTTGGGGAAAGTCAATTTTCATGAGAAGAGACTTCCAGAAGGATGCCATAGGAATAAGGATGAAACGATTTCCCGGTTGACTCAGTGGCAGGGGCCGGCAAACTAATCTTTTTTTGTTATATATATATATGTCCACACGTTTTGTGTAACAATTGAAGGGCAGCGTGCAAAATAATGATGGCCCACCCGGTGCCATGCTAACTTGATCCTGTTGATGCTTACTGATATCGCTATCGAAGAGGGTTCCTATATATAATACGCCACATATATCTTCAAGAATGCTTTGTTCATTTTTAGAAATTCATTTGAAACCTTAAAAACTATAATTAAAAAAAGCGGGGAATAAATTTTAAAAACGTAACTGATGATAGTTTGCTCTTAGTCGGATAAGAAATAAGCAGACTGAAATTACAGATTGAATCTACGGACTATCAAGGATTACTCAACCCTTCCAAAGTTTACACAAAAAATATTGTGCTTCGGGAACTTTTGCAGTAAAGATAATTTTAGTTGTAAATATGTAACATTTATCAGGATAAAATACGGATATCTTTCCTTAGGTGTTTATAAATTGCACACTGTTCAATTATTAACGTTAAAAATGAACTATTTTAAATTACAAAATTGTAATTGGATTAAACGAAAATTAATTACAATACATATTCCTTATAATACATTCTATCTTGTCGTGAATTGTGACGGCACGGGTACACTAGTATGTGCTACAAAGCCGAAAGTATGGAACTCCCACTGAAGATCAAACTCATTACTCAGTCGTAATTATTTTAGCAAGACAAGCTTGTTCACCATTACATCACATCAAAATACAGCTATAATTAAAACCATATTTGTTAAAGGACAATATGAAAAAAGACACAAGGAAAACTTATCTTAGCTGACAACTTTTGTCATCTAATGGCGAATGTACGGATTTTATTTTGCAACAAGTATTTAGAAACAAAAGTAAAAATGTTTCTTTTTAAAAATATAAGAACGCTCATAAATATTAATCAGGTTAACTGAAGTGAAGATAAATTATGGAGGAGGCTAAGTGACATAATTTAATGTCTAATAAACAAAAGTGAGCATTTTTTTTTAATAATGAAATTAATATTTATAAATTTTAGTCTGAGATTCGTGTAAAAAAAATTATTCTTTTCCCAATATACATGATCAAAAAAATGTTAAAAATTTAAGAGGAAAGAGTTAAATTTATAACATTTTATTATTTAAAATATATAACTCATAAATTAAACCAGACTAAAATTATCATTGCTAACACCTGTAATCTGCTTTCTGATAGAAATATATATATATATGTCTTTCCTGATCTGTTTCATTATTTAGGCTGATTGGAAAGGGTAACGGACATCAGCTCAGAAAGTGGAAATCCAGGCTAGTCAACATTGACACAAAGCGCCTTTAGAAAAGTAATGAATCTATCTCTTTTACTCCCAGCTGTGGGTTAAATAGTAATGTAATCTTGGCTGCCCACCATTTAGTGGCAACCAATCGAAGAGAAGGAAACTCTGATTTGCAAAACGTGAAAAGACAGCAGTAAATCACTCTCCCATGTTTCCCACGAATTCATAGATTCTCACAGAAAATAAGGAAAAATAACTGGTGGAGTGCCATTGATCGCCTAAGTCCTGAAAGGATACGACATTAAAAAAATCTATCTTCATTATCTATCAGTCTTGGGTTTTCTAATCTGTTCATTTCAATTTGTTTATACCGACCAACTTACCGGCTGATGACTGGAATAGTTGTGCCGAGTTCGAGCGCAGAATGAAGCCAAAGATATGAATGCTGATTTGCAAAGAAGGCACATTTTCTTAACTCCATGCTACGATCATATAGCCATAATCAAATACTTGACATTATATCAAATGTTTATAATTACCAAGTTATACCTTAGGAAATATCGACGATGTCCTCCTGAACATAATTTGGCCGAATATCATCTGCATAACCATTGCTCTTGCAATGCTTCTTTAAACATCTTTTCGAAAGATTTTTAATACAAATACTACTGTAAAAATGTAAGTGGATAAGAATATCTGCTAATAAAGCATATATATATATATATATATATATATATATATATATATATGTTTTGCGCGCTTCGCAATTTCTCAAAATAGTCAGAAATCACTGTGAAACAGCGCATTAGATGAGTAAGCTTTTTATGTGCATTTAAAAGCTCTTTTAACAGAATTTAAAATAGAGCACTTTTATATACGTAAGAAAAGGATTCTAAAATATATATAATATATATAT